ATTCCGGTTGAGCGTGAACCGAGAAATATAGTTTGTTCCAACGCGATAAGCTCAACAATCGCGATTCTAGCGCTAGGGAGGGGGAATACGAGCTGTATCTTTCCTCCCAGCGCTAAATAAGCTTTTGCGCGTCGCGTGAGGAAGCACGCTCACGGCGGCGCTAACCGCGCCGCACCGCAGGAAAGAGCTCGCTGAGGTGCGCGCGCGTCCCCTTGGATGTACGCTGACGCGAGCGCCGCGGCCGCCGCATGGGCCCCCCCGCGTGGGTTTGCTAGCCCACAGTCGCGTGATTCGAGATATAAATCCGCGCTCGCGAGCCGGTCTTTTTTTATTCCCAGAGTCGCGCGCGGAGACCGTTTGTTCGCGCGACATGAACGTGCGCTGGAGGCATCCTTGGACGTCGATCGTTTGCGGTCCAAGGGAATGCGGTAAAACGATCTTCGTCAAGACTTTTCTTCGCTATTTGTCCGTCATGTCCGACGTCCGTTTCGAGAGAATTTTGTTTTATTACGCGGAGTGGCAGGAGGCCTATCGTCAACTGCAGCACGAAGTGGATTCATTGTACCGCCGCGAAAAGTCCGGGGTAGCATCGTGCGATATCGGAAAGCGCGCGGGGGGGAAATATAATCGAGTTTCGCGAGGGTTTACCCCGCCCCGATGATTACTCGCACGATCCGCTTTGCGCGAAATTAGTGATAATCGACGACCTTATGAGGGAATCGTCCTCTTGCGACGTGATTGTGGATTTGTTCACAAAAGGTAGTCATCACAAGAACCTCAGCGTTATACTGATTTCCCAAAATCTCTTTCATCAAGGCCATGGACAGCGAGATATTTCTCTCAACAGCAATTATATCGTGGTATTCAAAAATCCTCGCGATCGCGCACTAATTCGCCACTTAGCGCATCAAGTTTATCCGAATGATCCGAAGTTTCTGGAAGAGGCGTACCACGACGCTACTTCGCGACCGCACAGATATTTGCTGCTCGATTTGAAACAGTCCACTCCCGACGAATATCGATTTCTCGCGTGCATCTTCTCCATGGATAACGCGCATTATGTTTACGTCCCGCGTGGATCTTCGGGAAATCACGTATAAAACTCTGCACGCTCACTCGAATCACGACAGTCGCGTCTTTGCGATGACATCGAAACGCGGAAGTAACGATAAAGCGACGAGTATCGCGTGTCGCTCCATCGGCCGGAAAAACGTCTGCCTTCTGAAAACACTGTACTATTTAACGAAGAAAGACGGGTTTCCTTCTTACGCTGCGTCGGTAACGATTTCATCGCTTGTATCTGCGAATGCGCTTTCAACACACTCAGAGGTAACGTACCGCTCGATCGGCGGGAAAAAAGTCGTTTGTCCAAGTACAAATCATCACTGCGGAATATCGTGAGTAAACGCGCTAATTTGAAAGCCAAGAGGAATATTCGTGCAAAGAGGAGGATGTTTGCCTTATCTGATTAGGTCTATGCTCGGTGCTATCCTATCCAGAGTTATCGATAAATCGCGAAATTAATTAAATCGAATGCGCACGCGCGCTCGCGCGAATGTATTATGGAAAGAGCAAGAAAGATGGTTTTGGTTTCTATGGAAAATCTCGCGAGAATACAGCAGCAGCTGCAACAACAACCCGTGATTCTTGCCGTTTCGTTGAATAACGATGCGGGATCCGGTGAAAATATCGTACGCACTCCGGGAACCGTTTTGTCGCGACTCGATGCCGAGATGAGACGAATTCTCGATTCAACGATGCCTGATCGCGAAAAATGGGAATTGTACAGAGAAATGCTTCAACGTTACCTACATTTTTTCCGAGAAGAAGAAAAGAATCAACAAATGCGCGAAAACGCGGGCATTAGCAACAACGGCAACGATGCCGAAAACAATCCCGAAAACGATTCAGAAACGATATCGACAACGTCCTTAATAACGAACCGGAGCTCGATCGTCATGAGAGAGAGAGAGAGAGAGAGAGAGAGAGAGAGACGAGGGAAGCGGACGCACCGTCGAAAGCCCGTATCGATGAAGATAACGCGAGCGCATTGAGCCGCCCCGTCGGCGAAGCTCGTAGAGGACGCCACAGCGAGCAGAAAAGCATCAGAGGAATACTGGATAAAATCTCGAAAAGTTATCGCGGTAAAGCGCGCAAGTTGTTACGGTATTTATGCGATGTAGCGGTGCCCGTTAGAATAAGTTGGGATAGACAAGGGGTCGTGAGACGGAAAAACTTTAAAGGGAACGCACATTGCCGAACTTGTGAACGATGCGGTACGCGAGAGAAAAACCTTAAAAATGACGAGGAGAAGCCAATTCGCTCGACTATTGCGCGATATAGCTATTCCTCCCGAATTCGTGGGAAATTGCGAATTACGAGAGAAGAGTATTCGTCAGATTTTCATCTTTAGAATCGCCTTTGCACGGTAGCGTTTCTATTCCCGAGGATTTATCGGCACGTAGCATTCCAAGAGCGAAAGCACGAATGAATAAACGCTAGTTCGACGAAGCATCGCTCGAAGATGAGAGCGACGATGAGGGATACTCGGCGTTTATATCCGGCGACGGCAACAAGAACAAAATCCACGTGAGTAGCCGCGATTTCAAACTCGCG